GTAAATCAATACATACGATATTCACACTTCGAAAAGATATTTGTCTTCCTATTAGATTGAACGATAGATATATTCCGCAAAGCAATCAAATAAAACATCTACAAGAACATATATTTACTAAACGTAAATAGTTGGGTCTAAAATGGAGGAAAATGTACTGGCTCATCGGAACAAAATCGGAGCTATCAATTAAAAACAAACTGTTGCTATAAAAACCTGTACTTAAACCAGTCTAGACATATAGTATTTAACTATGGGGTGCTGAATTCTATTCTATTCTCACTCGAATATCGAAATCCTGGAAAACTTTCAATCGAAAGTCCTACGCAATATAGTACATTATGGCTACAAATGATGAAATTAATTAATTAAATTACACTAAACTAGAAGAAACAGAACAACCCGTAGTTTTATCAAAACTATTTACAACTGTGCCGAAAACTCTAAAGCAACAATTGCCGATACTCAAGGTTTACCTGATGAATTACGATTATGCATAGGCGCTCGCGTAATTTTGAGAAGAAATCTATGGGTTATTAAAAGACTTGCGAATGGTTCAGTTGGAACAATTACTGATATAGCTGAAGATTCATTTCTTGAAGATGAAATATAAATTGATTATATGCTACTGTGTTTACTTGTATAGTTTAACAAATACAGTGGATAAATTCTTTATCGAAATTCATTTCGAATTGTTCCCTTGGCGTCATCTTTCAAAAAATTAAGTCTCTTGTAATCGTCAATAATTTCCTATTGTTCTAGAATGGGCTGTTAGTATACATGAATCTCATGAATAACTCTTGATAAAGCTATCGTTAATATTAGTAATAACAAGTTTGCAGCAGGATTTACATATGTTGCATTATCACGTGTAAACACTTCAAATAGACTATTATTATTCAAAAAATTATTCGCTTATAGAAAAATTTTAGATATTAAAACAGAAATAAGATGCCCGCGATTGAAAGACTTAAGTCTCAAATTTAAATCATAATGTACATATCATAGTCAAAATAATAAAAATATAAAAAATAAATACACAAAAGATATACGGTTGGTTGAAAATAAGGCAAAAATAAATAAAATCAGAAGGTTCGATACATATCGAACATAATACATTCGAACAATTTACTTACGATTATAATTTTTATAAAAATTCGAATAAATATTTTGAAATAGCTATGACGAATACTGAATACAAAGATTGTCGAAAAATTATACTTTATTCAATATATAATTAAAACTAATATATAAAAACGAGTTAGCAAGTAATATGTATAATATTAAAATAATTATAATTGCAAAAAAGGGTAGAGTAACGAATGGGATAGAAGGTTTAGTCAGAGTTAGAGAGAGAGAGAGAGAGAGAGAGAGAGAGAGAGAGAGAGAGAGAGAGAGAGAGAGAGAGAGAGAGAGAGAGAGAGATTAGTTCGTTTTTGCGCCAATGAGGTAGAACCCCGTCTGGCAGTTTAGGAAATGTACAAATCAAACAATAACAAAATTTACAAATGACAAAAGAAGAGATGCAGGAATAAATATTAGCGCATTTAACCTTTAACTGCTATGTGAGGTAGATTTACCCCAGAAAATTTTTAACAATAAATAAAATTTTTTTTTTTTCAACAATTTTTTTCAATGTATGTAACATTAAAAATTGTTAACCTGAATATTTCTTTTTGTAGTAAAAGATTCGAAATACACTAGAAAAAATTTTCATAGCAAAATATTTAAAATTCTCTGATTTATTCGATGTTTTTCGGGCTGGGGTAGATTTACCCCACCGAGCAGTTACGGGGCCAAAATGAGGTGTACAAGTTAAGGGTTAACTATTTAAAGAAGATAAGTTTAGATGAAATGCGTGAATTGTACGTACGGTGAGCAGCGAGTTTACAATGGCAATAACAGTAAGATGACTCAGAATATGTATATAAAAATGAAAAATAGAATAAAATATGTAAAATATAGTAAGATAAAAATATATAAAGAACAATATAATTAAAATAACAGATAAAACAACAAAAATAACAATAATAAAAGATGAAAAATAATAAAAATAATAAGAACAATAAAGATAATAAAAATAGTAAAAAATAATAAAAATAATAAAAGTAATGAAAGCACGATGGCACCTATTTTACAGAAAAACGGACTGAAAGGAGGAAGGTGTAAAAGTGGAGCGACGTGCATTTGGCTAAAATACAACCAAGTTTAATTAGCTATTTCATAAACCAAACGTCGATAGAGGGATATTTAAGGGAGGATGGATAATTTTGGGAGAACACGACTGGATTGACCTTGTTTGGATGCGAGTGTAATCGGACAGCCGGCACTGGCATTAGTTGTTCGCGAATCGCTCTCTCAATTCATGCTCTAGCTTCATAATTTAAAAACAGATCACGTGTCCAATCCTTGAAGTCAGAGATCCGATCGGTGGAGAACAGGGTCACGTTCAATGAGTTGAGTATCTTCTGTGCAAAGATCGCAAAAGAATGATCCCAGGCCTCAGTTCAAGGGACCTTGTATTCAAACGCCGACGGTGGATGGCGACCCGAGCGCCGGATAATGACACTATCAAGCAGGACAGACAGGTTTTTAGCTAGATAGTGTGGCGATTTTCTGAACACAACAGAGTAGGCCAGAACGGCGAGGGCTCTATACCTACTTGGGGTAAGGGATAGCCAGCCTATGTGTAACTAATATACACAATAAGGTCTCTCCAACGTACATGTGGAATGTGGCTCTAATGGTAAAGCACTGACCTGCGGACCCAGAGTAAGCGGATTTGACTCCCGAACCTGTTCCTTCATTTTTTAAATTAACCTAACATCTTTCTTTATATTTTCAATTTGTTATTCAATATTATAATTAATTACTAATATTTAATAACTATTTAACTTTAATTTTAATATACATTTAAATAAATGACCTCAGAAAACACTAGGAACCCTAGGGACTATCACGAACAACGGGGCCCCTCGTGGCCCAGAACATACATTGTTATACTACCGAGATATAAATATACCGTACGGAATTATAGTGAGATCTGTAACCAGGAAAATAACCGCAGGAATCGAATTAGAATCTGTACTTACAAGAGGCAGGGAGGTGTCCCTCTCCGATTTTCTTAAAAATCTTTACACATCAGTAGATTATCGAAAAATATTAAATACGTGTTTTTTCAAGCTGATGATACGATGATTAAGGGGGTAAAAATCACCTCTAAAGTTTATCCCTAAATATCGTCATTAAAACACTTTTACAGATATTTTCACTTCCAATTAATATTTTTGAACCAAATGAAATTATTTCTAATAACCCAATAAAGAGTTTGCCTCCCTTATTTGGAGAAGGTAGAATCATATTTTATCAAGTATATTTTCGTCATAAAAATTCGAAAATTAAATCAAAATAAATAAAAAAAATTATTTTTACAATCTTCTATACTTTTTTGTAATATGTCACGTCATCAAACTTCAAAAATTTAAGTTGATAGATCCAATACACTCGACGAAACTTTTTTAGACACTATTAATTTTGACAAATAGTGGCATTTTGACGCCACTGAATATCAATTTTTAACCATATTTCCAAAATTCATAATATTGAATCTAATATGGTATAAGAAATTGTCAATACAAGTGAGATGTATGATTTTTCCATAAAATTATTACAGAAAATTTCGATGATTTTACAGATAATCTCAAGTTTTCCAGATAACCTCGATTATATCAAAAGAACCATGTGAAAAAGGAATATGTGCACGATATGGATAATTCGCTAGTATTTTATTTATAAATATATTACAATTATTTACTTGATATGCTTACTTGCAAAAGACTTACAATATGTCAAATAGAATTTTGAAAAAGATAGATATTACACTTTCGCTCTCTCCTTATTTTTTTAGTCCAATCAAGTCTTTTCCGTGTCCTAAAACTATATGCTTTTCTTTCTCTTATCGAATAGCAACAAAAAGTGCATAGCCTTTGCTGGGTTTACAAATTGTCGGCAGTCTGGTTATCGGCATTTGTTTACATCAATATATTTAATATAAAAATATGACTTATTATGATAACGACTTTGCCGGTTCCTTAGTTTGCTCTCACAATTATCCGTTTGCCGTCTTCAGGCTGAAAGTGTGAGCGTATACACTCTCATGCCTGTTTATTTATTTGAGTAGTAGGACGAGTGGACTAGTAGAGCTAAGAGCTAATGACAGATCAAAGAGGGATGGGTACGGCGAGAAGAGTGAGATCACGACAAAGATACAGAGGCGATAGTAGTATTGGTTGGAGTATGGAGTCACACGTGTGACCGATTTTATCGGCTCGATTTTCGATTTGCTTTTGGAACGCGGGTTCACCGGACAACGGTTTCGAAGAGAAACATGCATGGTACAGGGGCATATGTCTTTTCGTAGTTTGAAGGCTGAGTCGCGCCCAAGCAGTCACATAGCTTCGGCAGCGCTGTATATGTATATGTGTGTGTGTATCGTCGAAAATCTGTGCCGATAGCACATGCGGCCATTTTGAATCGTGCGCAGTAGCGACACCAACGGTCACTAGTAAGGGCGTCTCAGCAACAGCAACAGCCAGCAGCTAGTATTTTCTCGCACGTTCGAGCGTCGCATTTGCGCGTATCTGACATTGTATATCTGAATGTTGGTGCACCGATATTATCCGTTTATTACCATCCAACAACGTATTTGTAAAGTTGTATAAAAATCATAAGCCATGAATAATTTTCACGTTCTTGTTTTTTTCTATTTTTCAATGATTTTAATTCAAAATAAAAGATAGAAATATATTTATCCAGACGTGTAATTTCCCCAAAAAATATAAAGAAGTGATTTATTTCACTTGTGAAGCAATAGAAAAATGTTAGATATGAAAAAGTAAATCCATTTTTGTTTTGTTGTTATTTACAAAATGCAATGCTTTTTAAACGATCACACTCGAATAAACAAAATATGAAAAATTAGGCTTTTCAAAAATACTTACCGAGAGCACGGCAATATTCGCCCTGAAGAGAGTTTCCAGCGAGTTGTATTACAGCCATGCACATGTCACCAAACATCAAACAGGCTACGTGGTAGGTTTGACAACGCCAGTGAAGAACATGATGTGAAGCTGGTAGTAACCAGCCAGCTACTAGAGTCATAGCGAGGAAAATCGCACTAATAATGAAGCCTACCGGGTACAATGTGAACCTGATGTCTCGAAACGGTACTCCTAAGCTGTAACAAATCATACTTTACTTTATATATACTGATAAGGAATATTGAGTTATTAATGAACTTTCAAGTTGGCCAATATCATTCTATTAAAATAAAGGAGTAAAATCCTTGTTATTAAATTAATAAATATCTAGCTGTTAATTTTATTACGGTATGGTATTGTTATTATTGTCCACGGATAATATTATTTAACAAATCTAGCAAATAAATCAAATTATAGGTGAAAATAAGGAGTGCAGATTACTACCACTTCAATATTATTTTTTACAAAGTTTCGTGCATAAATAACTGGAATACTGTGACTGTAATATTAATTCTCTTAGATATTCTCTTTATTGTGCCAATAAGTAGCCAACGATGTTGACGAGTGCCAACACCAAAACCTTGCGGTCTCAGTGCTAATTCCCATTTCAGTTCGCAAAATTCTAAGATTTTTTAGCACTTATACTGGGATGAGCAAGCATAATAATTTCAAAGTACTTAGAAATGTTAGTGAAGGACATAGTCTCAGGTCGCTTTTAGCTCGGGGGAAATCACTCCCAAGAGTTGGATTCTAAGTCTACGATGAAGAAAAAGGAAATAGTGCGTATATTCCTCTAAATAATAAAAACAATTTCGGGATTAACCAAAAATTTATTCATATTATAAATAGGTCATTCTTCGCGTGAAAATTAGATAATTGGGCGTGCTCGTGCTCACGTGAGAGCTCATATTTATTAACAGAATTTGGGTACAGTTTACTTCGAAATGTCCATTCAATGTTATTTTTTATTTGGGTGCAAACTTTATTTATTTATAACAGCAAAACCAAGTACGCTATACAGTTCATTTTAATATTACAATTCTAATTTGACAATGTAGAAAATTATGGTATAAATACGAAATGCGAGAAAAATCGTTATAAACTATCATTTAGTTGTAAAGTTTGTTTATTTAAAATAGCAAAACTGACAATAAAATTATGTATTTAATTAATATAAAAAATTCGCATATGATCAGTGGAATAGAATACCGTTTTTAGTTTTTGTGTGAATTTGAATAAAATTTCAATTTTGCAAAATTCATAATTGTTAATATAAAATACTGTAATGTTTTAAGCTCGCTTTTGACAATTTTCCCTGCATGTATGCACTCAATAGGTCCGACGGTTGAAAAAGATGATTGAGTGATACAAAGATCTTATATTCCAAAGGTGTTGAATAACTGTAGCCGTTAATGATCATCATTCAACTAAGCGGCACGATATTCATTAGCAGGCCCCTAATATTCAATAATAATACAATACAACTTAAAATAATTGAATCGAAATAGCAAAAATAATAGATTTTGGTAATTGTTATGGTTTTTCGTAACTCGTATAGAAAAAATATTTATAAATATAGACCTTGTAGTAATGTACTTGGCGACAAAATAATGAGCAGGACATCAAGCATCCATGTCACACTGATCAGATGTATTACTGGTCATTGTGGAACCGGCAATGCATATAAAAGGTTCCGACAATGGATATAGAAGGTGTCGTACCACTACATCTATTCATAAATCCGAAAATGACTCGCGCCGATCTCGAGCATTTCATGCCCAATCTGTCGAAATCACGTATTCGTGTTATTGATATAATGTTTTGTAAACATCATAGAATCGATAACTTATTTAGCTATGTACTTGAAAAGGCGTAGGCCCTCTATGCCCGCCCCCTGTACCGAACTAGTACTTGGGTCCGAAACCGACTTACGCGCGTCTAATATGGTCACTCTTTTAACAATCCCGCTATCTCCTAAATGATATAATGTTGTGTAACCATTATGGGACCGATAATTTATCACGCGATATTTTTCAAGGGTGTAACTCCCATTGCACTAGTACTTAGTGCTGAAAAGGATAAAGGCGCATCTAATACTCATCATAGTCAATCTCTCAGGAACCACGCAATATCCTCAGTAATATTTTGTTTTGTAATCAACATGGGACCGATAACTCATTCCAAAATGTACTCGAATATGTGTAGGCCCCTTGTACCGCTTCTCTAATACTTGAGTCCGAAACCGATTCACGTGCATCTAACTCTTATAAAGGTCAATCTCTTATGAATCACGCAATACTCTTAGAAATAAAATATTTTTTAATTATCATCGGACCGCAAGCTTAATCTGCGATGTACTAGAAAGAGTGTAGGCCCCCTGTGTCGCTTCTTCAGTACTTGGATCCGTAACTAACATGCACTGATCTCATCTGTATCGTGTTCAAATCGTGAGCAATCACGCATTCGTGTCATCTACTCGTATATCATGCTTTATAATCATCATGGGACCTATAACTTATTCTAAAAAGCACCTAGAAGTATGTGGGCCTCGTGTATCTTTAACTAGTAATTGAGTTCCAAACAACTCATGTGTATCTCACACCTTTCTTACTCAAGCTATCAAAAGATTGAGCGATAATGGAACTATTTAGAGATTTGACTCTCTAGTAGTGCAAAGCAGCTCTACTGTCGCGAGATGATTTAAATACAATAGCGTCATATTTTCTGGGACTTAGTATCACAACTTTTATCATTGTAATATCAGTAATAAGTTTCCCTCATATTGAAAAATTGTACCCATTTGCTGTATAAGCTTTAGATACGTAGAATCAACAGAGATATAGGGTACACGTACGGACATAACTTTGCATTTTCATACTTTCGCAGAAATTGAAACTTATAAACTATTTTATATATACTAGTGGAAAAAATTAAAGAATCCAAAAAAATTCCAAATTTTTTGACGCTTTTTAACTGGCTGTATTTCTCTTGAAAATGGTCGTACTGGAATTAAAAAAAAAAGCGTTTTCAAGTTTGAAGTTTCTAGTTTTGAGATCTCATAATCAAAAAAATTTTCAAGCAACATGTTCTGCTCAATCCTCACGAATGCCAAAAAAATTTTTCTATGTAATTTTTTCAGTATTTTTTTAGTCTACGAACTTGGAAAAAATTTTTCTAACTCAGCCACTATATGGATCGGATAACTTGTTTATTTAGCTTTAATTTACATTTTTGAAAAGTTCAATACCACCACCTCTTGCTGAGATATCGAACTTTGAATGGAAAAGGATCTTTTTGTCTTTAACCATCAAGATCTCAGCAACCGCTGATTGTACAAAAAGTGAAGGTAGGTTTTGAAATCTTGAATAAATTTTCCAAAAAACTGTACTACTGTTTGAGAAAAACAAATTTTTTTTTATTCTTTACATTAATTTGAAAAATTAAGAAAAAAAGGGTATTTGGTGGCTTTTGGGATATTCAAGCGCTAAGTTGGAACTATCGAGAAAACCAGAAATGTTAAGCATGTCTTTTACAGTTCAATATGCCCACAAAAATCCCACAAAGTTTCAAGTCAATCGATCAAGCCGTTTTTTTGTTTTATTCAATCGAATTTTAAAAAAAAATTAAAGGATCACAATTGATTTTGAATGATCACAATCTTGAAAAAAAAGGCAAAAAAAATTTTTTTTTAATTTTGAAACATTTTTTTTTCATGACTCCAAAAAATTTTGAAGAAAAACTACCGCTGGCATCAGCATTACCCGAAGCGTACCACATGGAGGTTGCCCTGTCGGATTTACGCTTCATGTGTGTTTTTTTAGGAGAAATGAGATCCGGAGGCTCGTCAGTTCCTCCGTAGTTAATGACTCCAAACTCATTCTACTAAGAATTTGTGTGTGTGTGTGTGTGTGTGTGTGTGTGTGTGTGTGTGTGTGTGTGTGTGTGTGTGTGTGTGTGATGAGGAGAAAAATTTTTTCAAAAAAAGCATTTCAATTCTCTTAATAACGGGTATTGCCACCCCTGTTCTCAATAACGGCTGCCAAGCGTTCAGTCATATTAATGCAGCGGGCAATCTGGGGTTGCGGTATGGTGTTCCAAATTTGCAGAAGTGCACGCTCTAATAAGGCCAAGTTGTACAAATTTGGATACTCTCTGCGCAAACGGCGACCCATTATGTCCCAAACATGCTCGATGGGGTTGAGGTCTGGACTCATTGGTGTGTACCTTAGCAATGTGATGTCATGTTCTAAGAAGCGTCTGGTGATGTTGGCTATGTGTGGACGTGCGTTATCTTGTATTAGAATAAACGCCCTCTGATGTTGTCCTCTGCGTAGTACAATCGGTCTCAAAATTTGGTCAATGTAGCGCTGAGCTGTTAAGTTTTCGTGTACAATCAGCAGAGGTGCTCTCCAATTTCGTGAAACGCCGCCCCAGACCATGACTGATCCACCGCCGTAGGCAACAATCGGATGAACAAAATTCTGACGAAAACGTTCTCCACGACGACGCCCAACAAGGGGACGTCGGTCGCTCCTATGAAGGACGAACCGGGATTCGTCAGTAAATAAAACATTTTCCCATTGTCTTAATCTCCAAGCCCGATGTGCATTAGCATATGCTAAGCGTGCTCGGCGATGTCTCGCTGTCAAAAGGGGTACACGATTAGGATGTCGTGCATTTAACCCAATTTCGCGAAGACGGTTGATTACTGTTCGGGAAGAAATGTTTCGCACTTGATGCCGCTGTCGATGACTTTGTCGCTGTTGTACCCGATTTGGGAAATTTCTTGCCACGATATTCGCATTGATGAAAGGTTCACGTCGAACTTGTCGGACAATCGCCCGATCATCGTGAACAATCGTGACACAATGGCGACCTTGTCCAAGGCGACGATTGCATTGGTTCGTCTCCCGGTATCGCGCATACATTCGAAATACGACGGATTGACTAACACCCATCTGGATAGCAATATCACGTTGACTGTAACCTTCTTCAAGCAGGGTGGTCAAACGAGAAACCTCCGGTTCTGATAAATGCCGTCTAACCATGATCGAAAATCAAAATGAATTTTTGATTTTTGCAAATTTATGAATTTTTTTTGTAATGCAAAAGGAGTGGTTTTGAAAAAAAACTGTTTTTTTAGCGTTGTAAGAGTTCACGAACATTAATGATAAGCAATTTCTGAAAAGCGTGTCGA